GTTAGTAACAAGAGAAAGGACGAGTATGAGACGCGCGACCACCCTCCGCGACGGTTCACGACAAAGTGAGGAAGCAAGCACAGACCTGCACGGGATGGTACGACCTTGGTACACGGCGTACACGGCTAAGTCAATAAACTGGGTGACGCAACTCACTAGCGCGTTGGATCGACGGAGAGCACCGATACTCGGCACGCTCTACCGTACTCTCTCGCTCGCACACCTCCCTCCCATAGACCACCGAAATTCCTCGGCACCCGTCAACACCGACAGAGAGCACCGATACCGCGGATCGCTCTACCGCTCTCGCTCGCATGCCGTGACGTCACCCGATTCCTGGAATCCCGCGGCCACGAGATGGCTCTGAAGGCATTCCCGCAAGGGAAATTGTAATGAATGGGAATAACATAATATGAAACTTCTTTACCTCTTCTTGAACATTCTAATTTCAGAGCCTTAAACTGTGTACCTGAAAGTATTTCATTGAATTTGTGTAAAAGATTTTACTACTTCCCAAAAGACTCCGTGTGATATTTGATAGCCTAAAAAACAGTGTGCCGATACAGGGTTTCGATTTATTTACAAAACTAATCTGACCAGTTGCTGCATTCTTTGACACTAATTTTCAAGAACATAAAACTTCTGTATTTCACTTAATTTGAGAGACACGTAGCTGAATATTAACATAACGCAATAAATAAAATTTTTGTAAGTAAATAACGTGTAAGTAAATTCATATGTAAAAATTTACCAATTGCCAGAAAGTAATTATTCGTGCGTATTAAGATTCTTACAATAGGCAGTAAAACTATTCATACTTCCATATAAGGCAGTAGAGGATGGATACGGGTTCGCGAGCCGTCGCCTTTCTTCCTCCATTTAACCCAGGGTACCAGACTTTATTTTCCTTTGTTTTTAACCAGGCTGTGGCTTTGGATCGCGACCTTCTCATATTATTTTGCTCAGTTACTTGTTCATACTGTAGTTTAACGTAGTTCATCATACACTTCTTTTACAAAAAACGCGGGAAAATGTGAAATCGATAAGGTGGCCCCACCTGCCAACGGCGTCAGGAACTAACATAAGAAGTTCTGGATTTAGTTCCAATTTCCGCTGTTGAGTGGCTACTATTTCCAAATTTTGTTCAGTTTTCCCGCACTTTTTCCAAATGCTCGTCTGTGATAAATGGAATCGATAGTCGATGTCACGAGCGGCATGAACATTCAGCGTTTGAGCAATTTAAACGCTGTAAAAGCACGTCAAATTGTGTTTCGGCAATGTCCTCTTACCTCGACTAAATTGACAAGAATATGATCCACGAAATTGTCTCGCGAACGGTACCATTTTGAACATCGAGGTGCGCGCGTCATTGCACTATCTTCTATGAATTTATAAGAAACAACGATACCATTGGCTGTTAGGTTGAAGGTTGGTCCCCGTGTACGAGAGAAATCTAACAATATTTTAAACGAAGATGAGCTGCGATTTATTACCGGAATGGCTGAACCTTTTCCTGGATGACGTAGAGACTACGTTATGCCTGCCGATATTAATCGTGATGGTCCTCTGTACCGTCCAGTTTATATTTAACCACACCAGGGACATCGGGTGCACGCTTTATCGAAATATGAAGCAGAAATGCGAAGACGAGGATGAAGACACCGAAAAGGAGAAGGGTGAAGATTTAATGAGTAAAATCAAAGGTCGCTTGAAATTCCAATTTATAGACTCTTGATCCTGATTTTATCTCTTTAATACTGTCTCGCGAACATTTGTACCATATTAATTCTTTTTATCAATTTTAATCAGATATAGTCCACAAGTCAAATGTTTTTATCTTTTTCTTAATCTCAAAAAAGGAATATATATATATATATATGGTCTTAGGCACAAAATAATTAACAGGTTCCTTTTATGGATAAGTTAAATGTCTCATAATTGGATCTGTACGTTTGACAGGGTTCATAATGAGCTTGGGTTTCGGTCAAAGTGAGGTGGATTCGAATGCTGAAGGCGCCTTCAGCCGACCAATCCGGCAACATTCTCAAGAAGACTGGGACTACTGCGACGAGGAGGACGAGTAACAAGAAAATTATTAAAATATACAATCGACATTAATGAAAACCGCCCAGATAGTTTTTATATTGCTTCTGTTTAGAGGAAATCAAATCACGAATAAAAATACGAATTTTCTGAATGATCATATTATGAATGTCTTACCTTGGACTCTTCTTATAAGAGGCTCTAAAAGTAATAGCTCTTGTTTCCCTTTTTGCTTTCGCGAAACCTCCCCAAAGATAAACTGATCAACCGCATGCGCTGTAAGCTTTTTACTTTCAATGTTTTTATATCTTTATTCTTGAATATTTTACATATTACACTGTACCGACTAAACGTTTCATATATTTCAAGTCAGGATTTAAGAAACAGTATTTATGAAAACGTAGTTTATGAAACTATTCAATCTTCCTGATTTATGAAGGGGTTGATCAGTTCAGATTCTGAAAGGCTGAGACGATGAATACATCGATAACCTATAGTTTCTTTAATTATAGTCGGTGTGTCTCTATGTAAGATAACATAGATTCGATTCTGCGAGCAGATCCGAATGTACACGTCCATCGAGGCATTCCCAACGCGTGGGCGTAGCCTTAGGCTGCCAATTGAAACGAACGGCGGACGCGTTACAAGGGTTTCGGTATCGTAAAAAAATTAAAGTCCACGATGATTCTTCGATTTTACTTCGTCTGCTTTAATGAAAATCCATTTGTTATCGAGAAAGAGACACGTATGTTATATATAAATAGCGTATTTGAACACTCGTTGAGCCTCGATCCAGTCTGGCGATCGAACGATTATTCCCATTCACGAGGACTAAGGTCGACGCTGGACTTGGTCCGTTATATGATACTGAAAACCCCTCGTGGTAACATTCCAAATTCGAACGGTTCGTAAAGGTTCACCGTCCGAACCATCATTTCTAACGTCTCACGCATACTTTACTTATATCGGTTTCGTATTAAAATTAAGCGACTTCCCGACGCATCGGTTATACATACAAGTTCCCTTAAGAGTTACGCTAGGTCAGACCGTTTCTCGTAGCCGTGCACGTCCTTCTAAACTTTCCGTTATCTGTCTTTCGTAACAATATGAAATGAACCGCCTGCGGGCCGCGGTTTAAGGCTGTGTCTTTCATTTTTTCTCCCTAGATCGCTTCTTTCCTCGTGATGACCGTGTTACCTTAAATTCGAAAGGGAATCGTTTTCTGAAACGATTAGATGGAAAAAATGTGTAATACGGAAGGTATAATGGAGACTAACCAGGAAGTAAAGTCACCACAAAAGTAAGACTCTATTTCTTGAAAGGAACGTTTAAGGGGCGGTGAGATGTGGGCCGAACGAAGTGTGGCAGGAACAGTGGTTCTCCGTTTAGTGAACGACTTAAACCAGTTTCCTAGGAAAAGATTCTTCGGTGGAGAAAGCAGTCGGTGTGCGTTCAAGGAAGACAATCTTGAATAGAAGGAGGCAATGTAGATTTCGTAGGTCGATAGTTCATTGATATTTAACGCGTTCAACGCCGTACAAAGTAAGTTCCAGGCCAGCGAAATCGCAGTTCTCGCGTGGCAGCTGTGTAACCTAGCAACGATAATGGTAAGAAGAAGAGTATCAGCAGCGATAAGAGTATTAATTAACGTTACAGTAACGGTCGTTATAATTTAAACGGTAGAAATCTAATGTCTTTCTTCATCCGCGGATCACTTACGGCTCGGCGAGAGTATCGAGGTTCTCCCGTTCGATTTACAGCATCGCCGGCCGAAGTTCCGTCTTCTCACGACCATGGTGAATCTGTACAAAGATCAGTAGTCCATATCGAAGAAGAAAAATGATCAGAAGGCTCGTAGTTGCACGACACTCCTTCGTTTCTCTTTGTACAACCCTAAAACCTCTTGGATAATGTCACCATTCCTCGTACTCTTCTTCCCAGAAGACAACACATCTCGTGTTGATTAGTTACATAGTGTCCCCCAGCTTCTCTCGCTCTGTATATCTTCTGGTTTAATTTCTCTGCGAAAATCCCCCAACAACAACTATCTGCTGGGGAATGATGGCGTAAGAACGTCTAAAGTCCGCGCCCTAGTGCTTCGTACCTGCCACGATACAGGGGAGTCGATGATCGATGGTTGCAGCGTCACATGAAAACGTTCTCCAGTCCAGAGACGTTCTTCCTAGTGGGAGTGGAGGTGGCGCAGTTCACACCCTCATCCTCGAACGTGACCATTTTCTCCCGGCTTCTGGTTGCCGCGCCAGTGCATTCCAACAATCGTGACTGATTCGACGTGGCGGTGGTGTTCGTGGCAGGACCGATAGCTGGCGGGGCGATTGCCGACGACGGCCGTAGAACGGAAGATGGAGGCGGGGGTGGGACCGCGATGTCGGTAACAGCCGCTGCGGCTAGATTGAACTCGCTGACGCTACGCGGCACAAAGTATTCAAAATGTAACGAGCTCTCTTGCTGACGGTGCTGTTGTTGATGATGCTGATGGTGGTATTGGGTTGGCGACAGGCAACTTCGTCTTAGCGACTGGGCACGCTGAAACTGTTGGATCGACGAGGAAGAGTTGTTCCGTGGATCGATGGACGTGGACTTCTTACGCGGCAGAGAATGATGGCCTGGCGACGGTTTCACGGCAGTGTTGGATGCATGGGCCAGGAGCTTCCCGTCACCGGGACTCCTGGCCTGATGCTGTCAGGATGCTGGCACCAAGGACATGGCGATTGCTTCCTCTTCTTGCTCGGACAACCGTGAGTCACTGGTGCCTCCGCCGTCGTCGAGGTCCCCTTTGAGCCCACCACCGATGGGGCCACCTACGGAAACGCGCAGAGTCACAAACGTTCACGTTCTTGTGCGATGGTGAAGAAGCTGCGCTGGGGGTCTTTGCACGCAGGGCGCTTTCGAATAAAGGGGGCTACAACACGCAAGGAGTGGTCACAGCTGCTCGATCGTGATCCCCGACGCGATTGGATCAGAAACCATTAGCTCATCTATTGACTGGTAGGTGTACGAGGAACGATAAACTGGACGCGGCTCGCGAGAGACTTCGAACACTTTTGAGCCATGCACATGCTTTAAATACCTCTCCGATGACATTGGATGTCGATTAAACTTACGCGTCGCACAGTAAATCATCGATGCTCGTTCGATGACTTCTCGGCACTGAGTGTGGAGCTGACGTGTGAACACTCAGTGCCGAGAAGTCTGCGAACACTCATCCATAATTTACTGTAGATCGTTCGAATGAAATCCACTATGAACAGTTATGTCGCAAAAAAAGTCAAAGGCAACTTCCGTTTAGCTGAATATTTCCGATTCCCGATAAAAAGCGCAAATATGGTAGCATTGTCGTTGTATCGATAACGATACCATTCTCGCCGGGCCCAAAAAGTGTCGTTGACTAAAAGCGGAACCGGGAGATGTTTTTCGCCCGGAATGAATAATATCTAGCGGTTCCCCGTCGAATGCCTGCCATCAGGGATACCTGTACCACCGATAGGTCCGACCACCACCCCGGACGACATGCCGCAGGTTCTACCGAAGACCCTGACCACGCGTACCACCTCCTCCTGGACAAGGTTGAAGCACATGGCGATCAGGCCCATCCCGGCTAGTATGTAGAGGGAACAGGCGCACAGGCTGAGCTCCTCCAGTGTCGCGGTGGCGGCGTTACGACCGATCGGCATCAGATCGCCGAAACCGATCGTGCCCAGGCTGGTGAAGCAGAAGTAACCGCCCTCCAATAAGCTCCAGCCCTCCAGACGATTGAACATGATCGCGCCGGCGCATATGTAGACCAGCATGATCACCAGACAAAGGCTGATCGGTATCCTGACGGTGTTCGTCTCCACCACGTAACCGGGTGACGAAGTCGTCGACAGGGACAACGAACATGGATGAAAGTGACGTTTACTGTTCACGGACGATACATCCTACGAACACGAAATTTAATATAAATTAGGCCTCGAGACATTTGCGAAGCAATGGAGATGTAAGGCGATAAAGGGCGAAACAGCCAGGTTTGTTTGGGATTCTATGAATATTGGAGAAGACGAAATAGCACAATTGGCGTATCGTCCTTTGTCTACAATATGACGCAAATTGGTTACACGTAACAAGTAACCAGTATTGGTCGAAATTCGGAAAATATTCCGCTACCTGAAGCGCGGCGGTCGAACTGGTGGTAGCGTGGAGCAGGCCTTCGCTTCCACAGTCGAGCAGAATCGCGCTGCTGGTGCCTCGTGTTCCGAGATCGTCGCAAGAGCTCTCTCTGCTGGCAGAGTAATAATTGCCAGACTTTGAGTCCACGTGGTTGTCGTATCGGTACGTTTTGCTCATGATACCGCCAACTGGTGGCGGTGGTGGCGGTGGTTGTTGCTTCCTGGCGCAATTACGCGGCCTGCAAAGCCTACCGTACAAACGTCGGAAGCTTCTAGCGAGAACGTCGCCGACTGTGCTTAAGTAGACCAGCATCAAGGGGATACCGGCCAGGGCGTAGACGATCGTGATCAAACGGCCCCAGATGGTGCGGGGCGCCACGCTACCGTACCCTGAAAAGATCGTTTCCAATAGAGCACCAAAACGCATTACCCTACCCACTGGACTGGGATCCTACAGGATTTGTCGTTTAAGTGTGACCCCCGAATATCTCTTTTTTAATTTTGAAAACGCAAATGTTATTCGGTGGATCACACTTAAATGTATCATCCCCTATAATCCACGATTGAACACTCGTACCGATTGTGGTTATGAGAGTCAGCGAGTACAACAGACTGCCACTGAAGGTCCACCGTCGATTCGGTCTCCTGTCCACAGAATGATCTCTGGATCGAGACCCGACTGCTTCATACTGCGAGGTAGATGTCCGTCTAAGACCCCGTGCCAGATTCTCCTGAAATTCGAACACCTCTCTGGCCGCCAGCCGTGTCCAATTCTCCTTGTACAAGACATTCAGATCCTCCGTGATACTCCAGAGCCTCTCGACGGTGCGCGCCCTGAGCTCCATCGAGGCAGAGTCATCCTCGAGGCTGGGCACCACAAACGATCCCCCGTCGGTTTTCGAACCGCCGGTAACCAGTAGGTCATTCGATGAATCCTGGATCAGGAATAACCTCGAATTAATCTCTAGGTTTCAACTTGGAGATGATAAGGATGGACCTGAACGCTATCGTCAAGAGATTCCAAGAACCAGGACGGTATTAATTGGGTCTCGATTATAGAGAAAGGTTACCGAATTTGGATCATCGCCTAAGTTGGACCACTACTGTGACTTATGCGTAAGCAATTTGCGCCGTACAATAGACAATACATGTTGCTTATATACTAACTCAGTTAATTCCATCATCGCTATCATCACATATTGTCAACCGTACAGCGTAAGTTGCTCGCAGAGAACTTACAGTAGCGATCCAACCTAGGGAATGGTTCACATTCGGCAACTTTCCCCTATTTTAGGGGTACTCATCACCCGAGGTTCCCTCTAGCACGGTTCTCAGGGTAACCTTTTTAAGGCGCACATGGAACGGTCAATCCTATACAGGCTTTTCACCCAGGTCCAATCTTCCATCTACCAAACCCCATTCATTGCCGCAGAGTTTAATACCCACCGACTTGAGGCCACCCTCGAGGGCCATGAACGCGAACGCCCCGAGTAACGTGTATCCCAACACGAGCACGCATACACCAAGGCTGGCTAGCAAGCCGGGCGTCTTGGTCGATGTCGATGTGCTGCAGCTGCAGCAACAGCAGAGCAATTCCGCGCCTCTGACGGTCGTGCTGATTCTCAACGCCTCGGCGGTCGTGTTCGTATTCCCACTCCTTCCCGGACAGCATCTTGCCCTCTGATAGTAGTCGCCGGCGGTGTTCTGCATCGTTCCGACGCCGTCCGAACGGAGAACCGGCCGCTACGCGGCCGTGTACCCCGCCGTTGCCGCAGCTGCAGCTGCAGGTGCAGCGACCGACGCCGCAGCTGCAGCCGCAACCGGTCCGCCTCCTATCGTCGTTCCGCTATCCTCCCTCGAGCCTCGTCCATCTGGCGCGGTGGCGAGCCTGTCGCAGAGATTACCGCGGATCCGATTACATGTCAGCCGATTTCTCGACTACTCCACCACCCCCTCCCATCCCCTTTCCTCTCACCTCGGGGCTAATTGTTCCTTACTTGGCAATTAAGGCTTTGCGTGAGATCCCAAGATCCTGGATACTCGCGTGTATATTGTAATAAGGGGGCTCGAGATGATCTGGGATTTTGATGCGCCCTTAGAGGACAGTTACACAGATTGACCCTTATCCAAATCTAGAAGCGTAGATATCGACTCACATGGGTAGTCGAAATAGTCAATATTTAAGTTTTACAAGGGGGTACTTTATATTGGTACTGTCGGAGTCGATGACGCAGGCCATTGGTCTTATTCTGAAGATCGATGAGAGTTGGCATCTACGCTTTTGGATTTGGATAAGGGTCAATCTGTGCTACGAACCTGCAAGAGCGCAGATAAATCTCGTAGCAAGTGATCGTTTCCGTATGGATTTACATCGCGACGGATAATTCTTGATTATTAGGAAGGTCCTCCTACTACTTGGACCCGGGGCTTACTGAAATTTATGCGAACTTAATATTCGGATCAACATTTACTTCAGTGCATAAAATAAATTTACTAAGTGGTAGGAGGCCTTTCCCCTAACGGAAACTGAGTTTGCTCGTGAGTATACGCGAACTTAGGCATAAAAGAGGAATAAATTCATCGAACTACCCTTCTCTAAACATCTTTTCTGACGTCGACAGTACGGTTCGGAAACCTCCAAGAATAAAATACTGTAATAGCAATGATAAAGAAGTATCCCTCATCATTTATATTATAAGAAAATAAAACAACCGGATGGTTCGTGTCAGCTGGTGATTAATTAGGGACTACGCCATTATCTCGATGATCAACCAATTCTCATTTCCCCTGTCGTCGTCGTCGTCACCGAACCGACACGACCAGCAAACGCAAAGAACTCATCTCGAAAAGTACATTCGCATCAGACTGGAAGCCGCGATGATCCCGTTTCACAGGATACCTGCAACTGACGCCGACTTGTCTCTGGAGGTCAAGCATCCGTACAAGAATCCCACCCCCCACCCTCCGTAAACTGGAACACGACGGGGCATTGTTTCGCGCGTTCGAGCTACCCCAGAAGTGGAGAATACGACTGCGCGGGGATGATCAGTTCGAGGTGCGAACAGACCGTCGGGATTCCGTGGTTTCTACCAAACGAATTGGAGCTCTTCCCTCCCCCCCCTCTGTCCTCGTATTTTTCAATTTTCCTACTAGACGAGAGGAGCCTGGTCCTCCATTACCGCGTCAGTTAATAATCGGTGGTGGTGGTAGGATTTCCCAAAATAAATGTGCCCGTTTTCGCGCTTTTAACCGGCTTTTCAACGTGTGCGGCAACGGCGGCTGATAAAGCGATCGTCCTACCATCGGCTGTGCACGCGCAGAAATAGCCACAATCGACCTCCGGCCAACGTAGGTATTATATCCCGTCTCCTACGCGCAGGAGGACCTGTACACTGGCCGCGAGTTATACACCACCGGCCAAAAGTATGGGACCAGGGCTGATGATTAAAAAGAAGGGAAAAATGTTATTTCACAAAATAAATTTCAAAAAGGTTACAGAATTTTTTTTCGATAAATATTCAAGGTGACCATCATTTTTTGAAATGGTATTACATATTTTTGAATTCATAGTATTGTAGCTCATGTCAAGATGAGTTTAAGCACCCGGTACACTGTGACCTTGAAATGACCTTGAATTGAGAAATTTGGAATCAATGAACGGGAATTTTCTGAAAATTTGTTCTATAAGATATAGTCGATTAAATACTGATCAACTTTTGCTGAAAATACTTTTTCAGCGGATCAACGGATGTGCTTGAAAAATCGTAGTAAGTGTTACGTGGAACACCCTGTACACACGAAATTTGAGGAATTAGCAGCGAAGAACTGATTAAAGAAGTTAAATAAAAAAAGAAAAGAAGATACAACTTCAATCGTGGCTAACAAAATAAATATCTTGATATAAGAGAATTATCTTGTTCATTTTACATAATCTAGAAGTCTGTATACTTAGGATTTTCTTCAAAATGTCTGTTGCGAGAACAATATACGTATATGTATATATTTAATTACTTTGATGATATCAGGCGGCTGAATCGTCATGGAAAGCGTCTCAACTTTTGGGACGACCCGACATTTACCTGCACAAACTCTCCGAACTTTATCTCGCGCGACCCCGCATGTAACTGCACATCGTGCAACTGCTGCTACAGGTTCCCTTCTCCTCTGCCACGTCCCTGTCTGAGCTGCGCGTTTTCAGTGTACTCCTACGCGCGTATCGCGAGCACGTATCTCCTCTGTCTTTCGACCAGACCGTGTGCACACATTGGTAGACGGCGGAGATACACAATGAACCGTTTTGGTAGAGGCTCGCGACAGTATCGGACATCCTACTTCGGGGCATTGTGGAACGACTATGGGGGAAGGGAGAGGCATAACGAATTAGCAGCTCAAGGTTCACCTGGTAAAGAGGCTGTCCTTCATATTGTTTCGTTTCATTTTGGAACAGTCGAAGAAACTGGAGAATTTTTTGCTACAGAGGCGACGATCCTTGATATTGTAGCGTATACAGTAAATTATCGATGAGTGCTCGAAGGCTCCTCGACACTGACAAGAAGAAGTCCCCGGGTGTAATGTTGACTTTTTAATAATGTTTAGCATGGGGGTAGAGATTTGAATTCTTTAGTTTCCATGACGGAGGTTATTTATAATTCAACCCAATAATCTGCGATTTTTTTTGCAATGGTGCAAAATTAATAAGGATAGGTTTATTTCATAATTTAAGCGACTTTCCAACGTTAATGCTTCTTTCTGCTGCGTTTCGAAATACAATTGTTCGGTGACTTACGGACGGGAGTGTAGGTACGTGTGCACTGGTTTAACTCATCGAGGCTTGGCCAAAGGGGTTGAAATAGGGGACGTATACGTGTAAAATAAATTGTCACCCTCGAAGCTCGTTCGAGTAAACGAGGTCACGTGAATCTATTCTTCGTTCAGACGAAATATTCAACTCCTGGATATTGAATCCGAAAGCATTCTCCACACGAGATAACCAAGATACAAATAATTAACCCCCTTTTGTCCTCTACAGTAGACGCCTACTTTACCAGTTCAGTGATAATATCTAGAACATTTCTGTACGAAACTTCTTTAAATAACATCCGAACATTACAAAAAACACTGTTACTACAACTAACACTGTTCGTTATTTATCGCGAGCAAATATATTGTTCATAAAAAGAGATATTTTTAAAAACATTATAAACGGTCCTAAAATGACTATTGATTCTTGATTGTATGAAAAATAATTTTTGTACAATATATCAACAATATACCAAAAAGATTACTTTACGATAGAGTCAATATTATTCACAGACCTTCTTCAACCCCCTTCCCGATGAATTCTTAAACAACTTAATTCATCAACTTTACCGATAAATTTTCAATAAGTGTACAGATCTAATTCCAGCAACTTCCACGAAAAAGATATTCCTCCTCTCGAAACGGCCACGAGGAGGTTTCTCGAAGGGGATGTGAAATATTCTCGATCCAACCCCTTTACGTCGAACTTCCTAACGGAGAATGTACATCCATAATTCACGGGGAGAGTCCGCGCGAAACGGCGGCGAACATTTTCGTTCGAGAAACGCTGGGGCAAAAATTGGAAACGGAGAACGGTGGAAAAGAGGGGGTAGGAAAAGCGTGACAACACAGTGAGGTGGAGAGGGGTGATACAGGCATTGGTGAACGGTGTATGTGGAGCGTAGTAAAAGGGAAAGATAGAAGGATTCGCAGTCGCCCCAGTTGAAGCATTGTACCGTGGTTACCAGAGATAAGGCATGAAATTAAATTCGACGGAATATGGGTCGTCGACGGGCGTCCCTCCTTCCGCGACCGTTCTACGACGACGACGTCACGGACGACGCCGTGGGAGGCTCTCGAGCGTTATGCATCTACTCGGATGAATTCGCGATTCATCGTGTTCGTCGAATCGAGACGGGAAAAGGGGAAACGTCGAGAGGCATGTTGTAAAAATTTACGTATCTGATTGATGTGTTCGAGATATGTATATTCCGACAGATCGGCGGGATGGTAATATCGATGTTTCCGGTTTTAACTACTTCGTGTTCAATAACTCTATGGGTGGCAGAGAGGACAGCTAACGAGGGTAGGAGCCGAATTGTTCGACTTCGATTTTAAGGGGGTTTTGTGAGATGATGGTATATGGGTTCCTAATGATTTATGTGAAACATTAGGTGTTTCTAATGTTGATTGTAAAACACTCGGTAATTTCAAAGATATAAACAATTAACGTTACGTCCTTTAAAGATGTATTATAAATACAAGTGAAACTTATCGAAGCATATACTTGAACTGTAGGAACGTACTTGAATTGTACGTCTACTTTTTGTGTATTTCCTATTTCTCGTTAAACGTTTGAAATAATTTTATTCGAAGTGATACAAACGTGATGACGAAGCGAACAGAACAGCAGGGTCAAATGAATTCCTTTCACTTAATAAATGTTTTCACGAGTGTTACTTTTCCAATCGACGTGTCAATTATTTCTTAATGATTTATCAGGTTCAGTTACGTTTCCATAAGTGTCCCAAATAAATTTTGTGGGTTGGGAATAGCCCGTGAAGAATTGTTTGGATAATGGCGGCGGTGGATTCGAATTGCCGAAATTCCTTTATGCCCCCTTTTGCCGACACACCGCTGCCAGAAGCAAAACGCAATTGTAACACGCAAACTTTGCGTGAACTTTACTGTGTACACGCT